CTTTCCGTTTCAGAAATGCTGAGCATGTTCTTCCTTTTTGGATTTCTAACTCCAGTTATTTGCACATTTCATTATAATACTTGACTTTGTCATCTTCAACTGCCCTTTGAATTTTTCTATTCCACTCTTTTACCTCATTTGTTCGAGTTGTTTTAACATCTCTAAACTGGAGAACAAGTTTCAGAGTCTTTTTCTGATATCTAATATGGTATTTTCTTTTCTTGTCTTCCTACTGACTTTTTGCTTTTTTCTTGCATAATGTTTCTGATGTAATCCCACAACTCTTCTGGTTTTAGGTCATTAGTGTATAATTAATCAAGTCTGCTCTTGAGATGATCGCTAAAGTTAGGTGGAATATGTTCAAGGTCATATTTATGTTCTTGTGGAATTGTCTTAATTATTTTCAGCTTCATCCAGAACTTGTGTATGAACAATTGATGTTCTGTGCCACAGTCTGACCCTGGTCTTGCTTTGACTCATGATATGGAACATTTCCACCATCTCTTTCCACAGATATAGTCAATTTGATTTCTGTGTATTCCATTTGGTGAGGTCTATGGGTATAATTACATTTTATATTGCTTTAAAAAAACTACATTTGAAATGAATATACCATTGGTCTTGCAAAATTCTATCATGCGATCTCAAACATCATTTCTATCACCAATGCCATATATTCTAACTACTGATTCTCTTTATTTCCAACCTATGCATTTAATCACCAGTAATTATCAATACATCTCAATTGCATTTTTTTAAAAATCAATTTCAGACAGAAGAAGTTGGTAGTATTATCATCACTGACTTTAGTGGTTGGTGTGTAAATTTCCTTGTATGTGTATGGATATTATTCTATCACATACAACAATATACTTCAAGATAGGTCTTTACATTTTATTTTTATTCATAAATGCAGCATCATTGTTATATTTGAGCCACTGTGTCAGCCAACTTGTTGGAGGTTTTTGCCTTACCAATGACCCTCCCTTTTGCAAAGCATGATATCTTTTACCAGGTTCCTCACATTACATGTCCAATCTATTTGCAATGAAGCCTTGCTATCTTTGCTTCTAAGGATCATTCTGGTTGTATTTCTTTCATGACAGATTTGTTTGGAAATATATTACCAATGTAATTACAATGTAATAACAAATATGTTATAGATCAGCAATACATAATATGCATATGTTAAACCAAGATCAAACTCATTGCTCTAAGTCAATTTCTACTCATAGATACCCTATGTAGAGTTGCTTGCAAGGCAGATCTGCTGACAACACATTTTTGGCTGAAATAAGAGAATACATGAAAGATGTTTACCTGTGCTTTATTGATTATGCAAATGCTTTCAATTGGGTGGATCAGGGCGAGATATGGACAACATTATGAAGTACGAGTATTCCAGAACACTTAATTGTGTTCATAAGGAATCTGTGCATTGACAAAGAGGCAGTTGTTCGAACAGAACACGGGAACACTGAATGGTTTAAAATTTAAAAAGGTGTGCAATAGAGTTGTATTTTTTCATCATACTTACTCAACCTGTATGCTGAACAAATAATCAGAGAATCTGAAGGAAAACGTGATGTCAAGATTGGAGGAAGACTCATTAACAAACTGCAATGCAGATGATACGACTTTGCCTGCTGAAGTGAAGAGAACTTAAAATATTTACTGCTGAAGATAAAAAACCACAGCCTTCAGTATGGATTACATCTCAATGTCAAGAAAAGAAAAATCCTCACCACTGGACCAATAAACAACATTGTTATCAATGGAGAAAAGTTGTCAAGGACTCAGTTCTTCTTGGAACAACTATCAGCACTCATGGAAGCGACAGTCAATAAATCAAATAACATATTGCAATAGGCAAATCTGCTGCACAAGATCTTGTTAAAGTGTTGAAGAACAAAGATGTCAGCTTGAGGACTAAGGTGCACCTGACCCAAGCCATGGTATTTTCAATATCCTCATATGCATGCGAAAGCTGGACAGTGCATAAGGGAGATTGTAGAAGAATTGATGCATTTGAGTTACGATGTTGGAGGAGAATATTGAAAGTGTCATGAGCTGCCAAAAGAGCCAATAGATCTGTGTTGGAAGAAGTGCAGACAGAGTGCTCTTTGGAGGCCAGGATGGCCAAACTTGGTCTCTCACACTTTGGACATATTGTCAGGAGGGAACAGTCTCTGGAGAAGGATATCATGTTTGGTAGGATGGAGGGTCAGAGAAAAAGAGGAATACCCCCAGTGAGATGTATTGGCAAAGTGGCAGCATCAATGAGCTCAAGCATAGCAACAATAGTGAGTTTAGCAGGGATCAGGCAGTGTTTCATTCTGTTGTACATAGGGTCGTTATGAGTCGGTACCGACTCGATGGCACCTAACAACAACAACAACACTTTTTTTAAACAACACTTTGTTAAAAATTATTATTTCAGAGTGCCTTTATTTTTAAAGGGTAGTTTTATTATATGTAGAATTCTTAGGAGATATATTTCTGTCTTTAAACACTTTAAATATGTCTGTTTTACTGTCATCTGTCTTCATTTGTTTCTTCTGATAAATCGATCGTTATTTCTTACTGGGCTTCTTTTGTTCTGGCACACAAAGTAGGAGCTACTGCACATTTACAACACAGGTTTGTCTCAGATAATACAGTTGAACAATTTTAAGAGAGAAGATAATGTCACATAAATAATTTCAACCAGAGGATCCAAGTATCCACAATGAGGAACTGAGACCTTATGCACTGGGAACATCAAACACCTTGTACTTTTTTGCCCTATGGTTTGTTCAAAGACCACTAGTCAAAACTGAAGTTAGGGCTTCTGTCATGTTCATCAGAAATGGTAGTCTAGTTACATCATGATAGTCTTATTCTAAAG